TAACTTTTATTATGCTTATGTTAGACACCACACTTACACCTTATCTCTTATTTATGAAAGAAGGGAGGAAAAAGAAACAAACTTTTTTATTTGCTCATTTATTTACAGTACACTTATACTTAAGTATACAACACCACCAGACTTAAACTTATAAGTATTGTTTAGGCACCTACTTAGGAGAAAAATGAGTTGTGTCAAAGGTTCCGCTGACCCCACTGCCGCATAGCAGCTCAATACATAATATTTTGATGTACAGTGGTGCCTCGCAAGACGAAAAGAATCCGTTCTGGGAGTCTCTTCGTCTAGCGGTTTTTTCGTCTTGCGAAGCAAGCCCATTGACGGGATTAGCGGATTAGCGCTATTAGCGGCTTTTAGCGGCTTTTAGCGGCTTAGCGGCTTTAGCAGCTTATCAGCTTATCGGATAAGCAGATAAGCGGCTTAGCGACTTAGAAAAGAGGGGTGAAAGGAAAAAAAAACCCAGGAACTCGCAAGACATTTTCGTCTTGCGAAGCAAGCCCATAGCAGATTCGTTTTGCGAGGCACCTCCAAAACGGAAAACTCTTTCGTCTAGCGAGTTTTCCGTCTTGCGAGGCATTCGTCTTGCGGGGCACCACTGTAAGAGTTAATTTCCCAACAGCGCCATTGTGAATGACAAGCACTGACACGGCGAGTCTTTGGTAAATGAGCGCACAAAGTCAAAAGTCCTTTAGTGAAAGTCCTTTAGTGAAACAGTAGGTTTCAGTAATACCTAGGTATATATGTATTTTGTTTTTCTAGCTTGATCAAAATTATTTATTATTTCATAACAGGTAGATAGTTAACAGTTTAGGTGGCTTCAATGGCGGGCGCCTGGCACACCCCCCCTCCCCCAGGATTCAGTGCCCAGGTGCCCCGCACCCCTTGCACCCCCGGGTAAAGACGGCCCTGGACTTAATAAACTCAATAAAACGTATTCCTGACTTTCCTTAATTTATATGTATGCATGTATACATAAACTACTTATACCCCATCTTTCCAAAAGTTATGCACATGTGCACACACACATGCACACACAGAGAGAGCGAGAGACAGAGAGAAAGATTATACTAAATGACTTGAAAGAAGCAGAGCAGTGAAAATCAGAAAAATAAATCAATAAGAACAGCAGAGAAAAGCCACCAGCCAAAGGTCTTCTTTAAAATGTCTGTTTTCACCCTGAGGTGGAAGACCATCAACAAAACAGAGAGGCATGTCTCCCCAGGCAGGGAATTCCAAAGTCCTGGGGCCACCACCAACAAGATCAATTCTCTGATGCTGGTCTGCTGTGATTTTGGAACACACAAGCCTGCTCAAGTGAGGTCATTTCATATTAGAGAAGGCATTCTCTCAAGTATTCTGGTCCCAAACTGTATAGGGCTTTAAAAATCACAACCAACACTTTGAATTGAAAGCAAATGGGAGCCAAAACAGCTGTTTTTTCAATGCTTCTTGCATCCAGATTGGTAACTATGTACAGACCACATCGCAGTAGTCTAGTTGTTATGTAACTAAGGCATGATTCTTTATAATCAGATCTTCATTCTGCAGCAATGGATGTAGTTTACATACCAGCCTCAGCTGGGCAAAACCATCTCTGGCCCTAGCTACCACCTGAGCATCCAAGGTCAAGGCCAGGTCCCACAACACTCACAAACTGATTTCAAATATAGCACAGGTTGAATCCTTACTCCAAGACAAATTGCCCCACTGGCCAGGAACACCTCTGTATTGTCAAAAATATGTTTGAACTTGTTGTCCACCATCCTGTCCATTACTGACACAAAGCATTGGCTCAGAACTTCAGTAGCCTCTCTGTAATCTGACAAAAATGAGAGCTATAGCTAGATGTTGCCCACATTGGCTTGGAATCAATTTGATTCCCTCCCCCCTTCTTTTTTCCTTTCTCCTCCTGTGATGGAACTCCTATTTGGGGACTTCCCTGGCTTTTTTCTGGCCCATGTAGGACCAGTCTGGATAGTTAGCCTTGGTGAAGACTTGAGATTTTCATCCCCCAAAAAGTTTTTGATTTGAGTTTCCATTGAAATGAGGCTGTATTTTAATGTTTAAATGTTGTATTTTAATCTTGTTTTTAAGTTGTATTTCAATCAATTTGTTTTTATATTGGGTGTTAGCCGCCCTGAGCCTGGTCTTGGCTGGGGAGGGTGGGGTATAAATAACATTTATTATTATTATATAACTAGAAAATCTTTATCAGTGGTTTCATGTGGATATGATAAAGCATGGAGGACAGAATAGAGTCCTGTGGAACCCCACAAGTAGGGCTCAAATAGTCAGAACTAGCAGCCCCTGGCGCTACCTTCTGAAATCATTCCTTTAAGAAAGGACCAAAAACTACTGTGAAAAAAGTGCCTCTAAGCCCCATTCTGGCAAGATGCTCCAGAACGATACCATGGAATATGGTATGGAAAGACACTGCAAGCTCTAGCTGAACCAATAGGGATGCACTCTTTCATCAAGTTCTCAACAAATACCATCCACCAGGGTGATCAAGTCCATTTCCATCTCATAGCTGAGTGTAAACACCAAATGAAATGGATCCAGATAATCAACTTTACCCAGAAGATCAAAATAGCCATTTATGCCTCCCCTAGCCTTCTCAAAATATTTGCTAAGTCAGCCAGCACAAATGTAAAGGAACCAACTTCTCTACCCACCCACCATTTTTTAAACCACTGTTTTAATTGACTTCTGTTACAGAAGATATATTTTAAATACAAAAAAAATATATCAAAAAGTATTCAAGCTATGTCACCTGAGTTTTCCAGTTGCACATTTCTTGTGATATAATCTCAACAAAATGATCATTTTTAGTGCTCTTGCATCTGAAAGTGAACATGAGAAAGGGGGAGGTGTGGAAAGGCTGGAGAATGGCGCCAACAACATCTTTCTCTCCTCTCTCAGTGTCCTAGTTTATACCAACAACATATGAGATGGCACAGTTCCTGAAAGCTAGGCTGCTGCTGGGGATGACACAATTTAATGTTCTCCCGTGTCAAAAATAAAAACCAGCAGATATAGCAATGTGGAGATAGAAAACTAAATGTCAGGAGGAAGAGTTCTAGCGTAGCTTTCTCTCTGATATGCTATTTTTAAAACAACAACAACAAAATGTGCAGGGAAATGTCCATGAGGAAACATTCCCCATATAACTCGTCACCAGCAGATTCACAGAGTTTACTTTTAACTAGGGATAGATTTGAGCCAGGAAAATCTGAGACTAAGCTATGAAATGTGTAGTGAACTCAGTCCTGGACAGAATAATGAGCATTTTTATAAGCATGGGTATAACAGCTTTCTCTGAATGTAGTATATTATTGTCATTATCATTGATATATTAATCACCTTCTAAACAATCATCTTTTTGAGATCATTTACTCAAAAGGCTACTGAAAATCATTGAAAACATAAAAACAGCAAATACATTTTAAACACGATCAGCTTCTACACAAGTTAAGATGAGTGAACTGACTGCTAGATCACAACCTCTGAGTTCAGAGGTCATGAGCAAAAGGCAGAGTTCACTGACACCGGAGTAACAGCAACCAATTTATTAATTTGAAATCAAGAGAATTGTCTGTAGATAAAAGTATATTTCACTGAATGCTGTACTGCTGCTTTTGTACCTGTTTTCACCCTGCGTGTAGAAATGGACATCAGAAAAAACAGGAACTTTATTAGAAGGCATCATTCTACATATTTGCCATGTCATAATATGTTGGTCTACAGTTACCAGCATTGTCAGATTATTGATATATTTTAGGGGCTGAACTTTGGAAAAGGTAATTACCCCATGGAGGAAGCTTAAAGCATAAATTACTGGGACAAAATTAAGATCAGATTATGAAAGAAATGTTCAAGAGTTTGGCGAGGTCCTTGATAATTGAAGTATTCTCTGCCATCTATTTGAGCCATTATTCCCCCAAAATATCCTTATACAAATAGAATAAAGCTCACTGCAGGCTTTTCAGAAATGCCATTTCCAGACTCTACCTTCTGATGATTACTGGTTTCTTTTTTCTGTAAAGTTCTATAGAGAATATATTTTAATTAGCTCCCACTTGATGCCACTTCATACACACTGCCCAGCTTTGACCCAATGTCTGATCGTATAGAATGCATTACAAAAGAACTGGTCATTTGAGTGCTTTAATATAGCTTTGCATTAATATGAGACATCATTTAGACAAGGCATTAAAAGTGTTATTTTAATGACTGAAGTGTGTAGGGAGGAGGGAAGAAGCTTAATCTTTACAGGAAGAACAATTTCAATTAGCTCTAAAATATTAATTTGTTGGTATAACTATATACTCTAATGTATTTGGCTACAGAAAAAGTCTTATGAATAATACATTACTGGATCCCACTCTAATTCTGTGTTGTAACTAATAGCGTCTATCAAAAAGAAAGAGAGAGAAATCTTTTAACATTCCAGTTCTGTATACTGTACATTTTTGTTGTTTAGAAAAACAGATCACTCACCAACAACGGTGGGTTTGCTTTTTTCCAGAACATTATACAAAAGTATATCTGAAGTGAAACATCTAGCATCTAAGTAAAGTTCTTAAACTGATAAGCTGTTTGTAGTAACTCTGAACCACAGTTTTTGAAGAAAAACTGTGATCTACTCCTCCAGGAACATTTCCTGGGCAAGTATGGTTGAAATTACTGGCAGCTGTAGAAGACCATGGTAGATCATGAAAATGACACATTTACCATGAAAACCTGAATATTCCTTACAATGATAATGGCAATAATAATATAATTACAGACTAAGATAAAGTGAAACAAATATAATTCTAAAATGATCAAAAAACAACCGCAAGAGAAAACACTTAAATATTTCCACAATTTGAGCATCACAACCATGAAGGTCCCATTCTGGTACACACTTGAATTCTGTTAATATTGAGCCTTAGGACTGAATTAAAACCTTTTTTCTTTTTCTTTTTTGCATTTTATCTGAAATGGTTTGAGGGAAATGGATTTGTACAGCATTGCTCTCAGATATATCTGAATCAGATCAATGATCTACAGTGTAACTCCAAAATACACAGTCAAGCAAAACTTTAAGACTAACCAAAATGTAACAAAATACTGTCAAGCTTCTGAGTACACTTCAGAACTCTTCATTAGGGAAGATGTTTCACAAAGCGGGTGTTGTTTTTTAATGTAAAAAAATTAGGCTGAATATTGTCATTATAAGGTCAACTTCTTGACTCCATTCCAAGGCTGGATCCAGACATGTCAAAGAAGTGATTCGGTTAAACGCGCTGTAAACTCATACAGGGAAATTCGATAGGGAAAAACAGGACTCCACAGCGCCATCTGGTGTCACAGTGTTATATCGCATATACACATATAAAACGTATTTTCTTTACCAATGTAGCTCAGTCCGAAGTTGTTGATTGCTATCTGAATAAGTCTCTCCTAGGTGCTACAGGTTACACACCAAGTTTTCGGGGGTGGGATGCAGTGGCTGCTCTCCATTTTTGAAAATATAAATTCTGTCTGTTAACTAGATCTACCCCATGCCTTAAAAGAAATGATGTAGTTAGTTGTGCTGTTAAAGATCTTTCTACTAAGAACCAAGTTTTATACAGCATCTCAGGTAGTTCTGGAAGAGTAAAATGCAGCTCTGATTATTATTCCTAACGAAACGGATGCCTTTGCCATTACAGTGATAGCTCGGATTACATACGCTTCAGGTTACATACACTTCAGGTTACAGACTCCGCTAACCCAGAAATATAACCTTGGGTTAAGAACTTTGCTTCAGGATGAGAACAGAAATGGTGTGGCGGCAGCGCGGCGGCAGTGGGAGGCCCCATTAGCTAAAGTGGTGCTTCAGGATAAGAACAGTTTCAGGTTAAGAACAGACCTCCGGAACGAATTAAGTACGTAACCAGAGGTACCACTGTACCGATCTCACATATAGTTAATGTAATGGAAAGTATACCAGGGGCAGCTAATATCCAGGCCTGATCTAACTAGCAGTGTGAGCCCTTAAGCTTTGGGATCAGTGGGAGACCTGATGGTACCTGAGATCAAGAAGCAAGTTTTCATCTATATTTGGATACAGCTGGATGCCATTTCAAATCAAGATGGCAGATTTATTCTTCAAAAACTGCATTGATTTTAAACTTGCACTGATTTTTTGGGTTTCTTAGAATTTCCAATAGATGCTGTGTATAAGGCTGCTAGTCCTATGTAAGGGGTGGACTGTGGCCATTGTTTCTTTGAGAACAATCTCATTAGTAAGTTTTCAGATGTAAGAAGACTGGCCACAATCCAACAACGTTAAGGACTTCAAATTCCAATAGGAAAGGGTTAACAAGGTGCTAAATGGTCACAATGAAATCAGTGGTTCAATTCCACCCATTCTCCTTTCTGTAAAAGAGCATCAAAAGAAAAAGGACATATATCACGCAGCGCACCATAGATTCAAATTCATACTTCCACTCTGTTCATGACCAACCAAATGTTGGTCATGAATTTATTCATTACAAGAAAAAGAATCACTTGCTGCTGGGTAAGTGTGAAGTTGTTTCTGGGAGGAACAGTCATCTGTGGTGGCTGGTAAGGCTGGTTCCCACATCTCTGATGCCACTTGTTTTAGAGTGGGAAGCTTCTGCTGCATCACAGTATTTATTTTTATTTTTAAAAAAGTTGTTTCTCCCAACCAAGCCAGAGTTAAATGAATCTTTAGACTGTAATTATAAGCAGTCAGTTTAAAAACAGGCGAGAAAATATCTGACTACATAATACCCAGCAGGAACTCACTTTATCATATTTATAGCTTCAGGTGCTTTTATTAGATAATCACAGGGAAAGTATAAACATCAGTTACCAAGGCGTAGGGAGAACGTATTTCACTGAGTTCTAAAGTCTACAAATTGTAAGAGTACTGTTTAGGTGAACCACATCAACTCTGAGCTAATTTCCATGCGCACGTCATTGGAGGACACAGGAATACTTTGGGTATATTTCAGAGCAGAGTCTTCAGGTTGGTTCAGATGTTAAACACATCAACGTACAGTGGTACCTCGGGTTACAGATGCTTCAGGTTACAGACTCCGCTAACCCAGAAATATTACCTTGGGTTAAGAACTTTGCTTCAGGATGAGAACAGAAATTGTGCGGCGGCAGCAGGAGGCCCTACTAGCTAAAGTGGTAGCTCAAGTTAAGGACAGTTTCAGGTTAAGAACGGACCTCCAGAACGAATTAAGTTCTTAACCTGAGGTACCACTGTACTCAAGCACTGCTCATTCAAGCAGTCTGCCTTAGGATAAGAAAAATGACAGGACTGCAACAGCAACTTCCATGGGCAAAAGTTCCTCTGCCCAGGTCATCCTACTAAGAGAAATATGGAGAGGAGAATTGAAGAATAAATCCAAAATTCAGCATTTGGCACCTCTAGTTAAAATGGATCCAATATCAGAGAATTAGGAAGGCCACTGATGAGCCACCGATAGTCATAGACTGCACTGAGTTAGATGGATCTGTGCTCCGACAATATAAATACTTTTAACAGCACAATCTTATACAAAATCTACCCACTGACTTCAAGCTGGACTTACTCTCATGGTAGTGAGTATAGGATTGCAGATGTAGGCGTTCAAATTGCTGCTGTATCACTCTGAAAGACAGGGCTCCCCAATCTGATGTCCTTCCAATGTTTTAAATTACAAATCCCACAGACCCTGATAATTTGGTAATGCTGACTGAGCCTGAGGAGTGCTGTAGTCTCCAAAAAATGGAGGGTATGGGCTAGGGAAGGGCTGCTCTTACCTCATGTCACACTGGCCACGTGTCTCATGGAGACATTTGGAGCAGAATGCAAGAATTCTAATAAGCAGAGTAATCTGAGGTACTCACAGCTAGAGACAGGCACATCTGTCCATTTTGGTTTCTCTCACTTTTCAATTTTCCCAACCAACAGGGCCCAGGACAGAACCCTGCGGCACCCATGTTTAGCCATCACTTTTTTTCCAGGATGGAAAGGAACCACTGGGAGCACCCTTTGGGTTCAGGGAGTCGGGCAGCTACTTATCCACCTTACAGCAACATCATCTAGCCCACATTTTATCAGCTTCTCCACAAGAATATAATGGGGGAATGTCAAAAGCCCTATTGAAATCAAGATACACCACATCCACAGCATCTCTGTGATCCACCAAGCTTTAACTCTATTTAAAAAATAAGATTAGTCTGAAACAACCTGTTTTTGAGAAACCTGAGGTTGACCTGGTTCACCTTCCTCATCCTCTGCCCTGCTGATCCTGGATATCTTGTATGCCTTGAGAATGGCCTTTAAAGAGTTCTATAATTATGCAGCAATTGTTATCATGGAATAAATTTTATAGTCACCCCACGTAAGTCAAGACTATGCAAACTCTTACATGTCTGACTATCCTTTCAGTGACTTTTTATCAGCATGCCAATCGTAGGTATTGGTGTTCTTGTTCATGATCTGTTTCTGATGGTTTCTACCACACAAAAGTTCTCCTTTGCACAACTGAACTAGCGGCTGAAAAAAGGCACCCACCACATTCCAGCTGAAGCTGGGAATGAATGGGAGTTTCCATACAGAAGCTGAGGAATTGGTGATGCTGAAGTACAATAGTAAGGCAGAATTGATGAACACAGTCATTAGCCTTCATTTCCACAGCCACTTTCCTATATGTGTAAATATACAGAGTGATTCATAATGAAGCATACAGTTTCCATTTACTATAAATGGAAACTGTATACATCATTATGAATCACCCTGTATTTACAATCAGTAACTGGAGTCCTAAGCATAGGTTTTTTTTCTGAAATAAGTTCCTCTAAATTGAATGGGATTTACTGTCTAAGAAGTTTGATTTTGATTTTAGCCAAAGATTGCATTCTTAAAAATAATGTGGAAATGAAAAATACTTTTTCACTTGATGAAAATGAATTTGTCTTTCGTGGAAAAAGTAGAAGCAAGTTTCAACCAAATGGTAATACAGCACAAATTAATGAATTTAATGAGGCTGTCCTTACACTTGAAAATTTTATTTGTGAAATGAAACAGATTAAAAATATTCTTTAAGTTGTAGTGGAATGAAATATCATGCACTACTATGCATGAGAAATGGTCATATATTGCAAGGTGCTTGATCTGATTAAACAATACTCAGCTGATTTGTATTAGCTTTGCACCTATTTTCCCCTCAAAGATAAAAGTAAACAAATTACAGTAAATTATGAGTTAAGTGACTTGCATGTCTTCAAGCAAATTGTACAAGTTAACGTGTGTTGGTTAATTGCATGTATTACAACCAATTACATGATTCTGAACTAAATAAAGGTGACTTGAATTAACATGAATTAAACTATTACAAATTCACTCTGATGAAAGAAAATTTGAACAGTCAGACTCAAAGGATTACACAAATTCTTGAATTTAATAAAGGAATATTGTCAGTCAAATATGAGTTAATTCAGAGTTAATCGCACATAAACCCACTGATTTCAATGGACTGAAGCATGCATAACTCTGCTTTGGATGGTGGCCAATTAATTTATTTCAGCCTATAGTATTTTTAAAAAAGTTATTATTCACAATTGATGCCATGTTTTCCATAAAAGAAAGAATGCATCTTGTGCTATCTAATTAGTATTAGCTTCAGTTTTAAGCAACTGGATTTAGTAACTAAGGATTGCATTCCTGGGGTTGGTGGGTGATGGAACCCATTTCTCATATAGCACAACTTTTTGTAATGGCTTCCATGTTCATAATTAGAGGCTGACCCTGTAATTTATTTAGAATTAAGGATTCAAAATATCAAAGGAATTAATTTACATACATGATTATTAGAATAAAACATCCTGTTAGAGTGTTCAAAGTATTTCACATTATGTAAGTGATCCTTACAGCAAGTTAGGCTAGGCCTAAATTACCAACTTCTTCAACTGCAATCCTATATCTGGGAGCAATCCCATTTGAACTCAATGTGACTTTTCAATAGACATGCATAAGATTGCAGTGTTATTTATCTTTTAAAATATTCCAGTACTGTACTACATTCGGTGCATGCAAAGGCCAGGAATGGAACCCCTGTACAGAATGGTTGCCACCTGCATATATGTATACACACGTAACATAAAATCAAGGTAAATCACAAGTTTTAAAAACTATTCTATGAAAATCAGGTAGGGCTAGAAAGCGCCCTTGTCAGAAGCTATGAAGAGCCACAACTAGTCCATGCAGAGTAGACAATACTAAGCCAGATGGCATGGAATAATATTTGAATCCGTATTAAGCAGAGTCTTAAGAGCTAACTCATGATGACTATCCTTAAAATATAATCATAGAAACATTCTAAATGTTTACAGTAGAAGGAAAAAAGTCCAATCTTCTTCAAGAAGTATCAAATGCCTCCTTGAAGAGGCAGATCTTGAGTGAATAACAAAACACCAGCAGAGGAGTCTCTCAACATGCTTTCAGTGGGAGCATGTTCAAAAATGGGAGATCACCATAGAGAAGGTGAGACTCCATGCCCTCACAATCTTCACCTCTGTAAATGGCTGGACACAGAGGAGTGCCTTCCTAATCCTAACCCTGTAGATCTGAGGAATTAGGAAAGGGAAGGGGAAGGGCTGTAGCTCAGTGGTAGAGCATCTGCTTTGCATGTCAAAGGTCCTTTGACATCCCCAGGTTCTCCACTTTGAACTGGAAATGTCCCCAGTCTAAAACCCCGAAGAGCTGCTGCGTCAGTGGAGACAATATTGAGCTTGATGGACCAACAGTTTGACTTGGCATAAAGCAGTTTCCTTTGCTCCTAACAGTCACAAGGAGAAATTGCCAATAGAACGCAGGCCCCGGACTATATGGGCTATTAAAGGAAATAGTCACTCCAAGCAGCCTGTTGTTCTGACGATGTGGTCTCAAGGCATATGAGGCAATCACTTCACTGAAGGGCTAAGCAGGTCAAGATCTGGATAGGTAGCATTGAAAACCACATATTCCATGACTATGTTCCATGTTCCTATTGTTCCATGACAGAAGAAAGGTGAGATATAAATATAAGAATAAAGGAAAAATACATTAAAATAATTTGGGATATGTGCTAAGGGCAAACCCACTAGTCAATACAAGATTTGGCATGCAGTTGACAAAATAGCTTGGATACAAAATATATTTATTTTAAAACGTAATAGGCAGAAGTGTAAAAGTGAGGAAAACAAATGTGTTGTTTCTTTATTTGGCTACATAAAGAGGCGAAATGTGGAATTAAATGCTTCTGAGCAGACTTTTCCAGAGCATATAAACTTCCCTGAAGAAAGAAAAGGCAGATTTTTCTTAGTGTACATCCCATTACCAGTAATTTAATACCGTGACATCTGACCTACATGGATTTAGGCACCCACATATTCCTGAACAAAATACATTTTATAGAAGACTAATGTGACTTGTTAGCAGGGATTTCAAAGCTTATTCCGGATTGCTGTGCACCACTGCTCTTTGTTTGCTTTGCTAATGAATACATATTAAGAGGAAAATATGTCTCTGGTAGCTGACCTTGACCTTTTAAGGCTCCGACCAGGTATGTAAAGATAGCCCCCAGCCCCCCCCGTCACCCACTCCTCCCCCCACCCACAGCTCACAGGATTAAGAATGCTTATTGAAACCTCAAATTGCTTGTTTAACTCACATGGAAATGCATATCTGCATCTTCTTTCTGATTAAAGTGTCAGAAAAATTCCACTTCAGTGGTGTGTAAAATTTGTATAAACTCCATCCCCAAAACAACATTATCATTATAGTGCTCAGACTGCAAAAAGATTGGCACCCGCTCTCTCCCTCTCCCTCTCTCAATCACCACACTTTCTCCCCCCCCCCCTTTACATCTAATTTTCCCTTACGGGGGAAAAATAATTTGAGAAATGGATTTTGTTGACTGTGTTTTTCCTTATTCTGTGAGCACCCTGCATTTAAAAACATATAGCTAATTTCTATGTGGAACAACACGAAACAATTTTACATTATGGGTAAAAAAAATAAATATATAGTGCAAGCACACTCTCCAGACATCCATACGAATTCATCAAGAGTAATTATGAGTGAGCTCCAGGATAAAATGCAAAGGATAAGTTTGAAAAACACATTGTAAGAAGCACTTAAGTTCTGCCTATTTACATGGCAAAAAAAAAAGCAGCCTGTCTTTGGAATATAAATGTAGCCTCTCTGCTCAACCAACTGTTTCTTGTTTATGACAAAGAAGTAAATAAACCATTGATCTGACAGCAGGGCACCTGCCTTACCAACCGACACTGTATCAGTGGTCCCTGATCCCTCATTATTTTTCCTCAATTAAAGTTCATAGTCTCCTAAAGTCTGTGCTGAGCAGATGTACAACTGTTCTTGACTGCAGAACACAGAAGAATCACAAATTTAGAAAACTACTGCCATTTCATAAACCCTAGAAGTGCTGCAGTAGGGTTTTCTTTGAGGGGAGGGGTATTACAAAAGCAGTAAACAGTATTTCTCTTTTATAGGATACTTCAGCAGCACAGTGCTGAAATAATACCTAAGTTCAGGAAAATGTCAAATAGCAGTGTCTTATATGTTATGGTAATGCAGGTTTTAAATATCTATATATAATATTCAAATAATTGTTGCAGAAATTTGAAAATTATTCAGTTGACCTAACATAACATTTGAGGGACAAGGAAAACCAAACAGGAATCAATAATCTGAATGTATGTATATAACGATTGATATATCAAGGGACTTGGAATTAATCCAGTGTATGCTGCATTACTGTTCTGTTGATTTTTAATTTTTTTAATTTAAATCTTTTAATAAAATTTTAATAATACAATCAAGTAATTACACACAATATTTCTGCTTATTTCTGATGCCCTTAAGAAACAGGGAAGCAAGAATGTTGCTGCAATATTCAGAGGGGTGAAAATGGGTGTTATAATTCCAAATGCTGTAACTGATGAAAATGGATGGCATTATTTAGAAACTGACTCAGAGTTTAATTGTAATGAACTGAGCAGAAAGACTCCACACTAGCTACCAAGAAATGCCCATTTTGCGTTAAAAGAATTCATGTTAGTTTAAGAGAATGACTGAATAAAAACATGGGAGGAAGGGAAAGTGTTAAAGTTCACATTCAACACATTGGTCGGCCTTTCTCACTACCCCAATTTTGTACTGTACACTACCCCAAATTTGTAGTGTGAACTGCAGCAGGCTGCAAGTCTTTAGGTCAGAATCGGTGCTTAAAGCATCAGTGGCTACACTTGCCATTTTAGTAGGTGAGCTCCCCCTCCCCCTTGGGAAGACTGCATTATTGTTTAATGCTCCAATATGTGCAAGCCACCGTCTGAATTCAGGTTTCAGGCAGTGTGGTAGAAAGAGAGTAATTTAAAATATTACTCTTTATTAAAATATTATTATTTAATGACTGGCCAATGTTATTTCCTCTCCGTGCTGTGAAGCAGATACTGCCAGCGAGGTATCTGTCAGGAACACAAGTATATTTTGCATTGGCACTGAAGCTGCATGCATTAATAAAAAAAAATTTAAATCATTTCAGTATCGTAAGCTGGTATTTCTGAAAAGAGAAAGAGGCAGACAAGAGGCAGTGGAGAGAAAGAAGGATGGCTTAGGAGTACCCACTTTCCAAGCATGGCAAATAAACGGATGACCTTCGGTGCCACATGGGTGCACAGCTGACAACGCAAGCAAGTAATCGCAGCTATTTTTATATTTACAATAGACAGATTCTTCTTTCTGTTCTCTTGCTCACCCAAGGTTTCTTCTTTTGGATTGTTTTTCAGTAAGCAACCCAATCTAAACAAGTCTTTACCCTGAAAATTATTCACGCTGAACTGATGACTTAGTCAGAATAACATTCAATGTGTACGAAAGCATCTTTATACAAGAAGAAGCATCAATATTTTATGGGAGGCAGAAATCACTTAGCACAACTGTCAGCTACATTCTGGGACAAAGGGTTTACAGGTTAAAAAAAAAGTGCATTGCTTCTAATGTCCACTTTAATGTCACTGGTACAACATGCAAGCAAATGTTTCTCAACAGTAAAATATTCCACCACGTTTTGGCAAACAAAGGTTCTGCTGGCATTTAATTTTATTATAGTCTACCGGCACTCTTCTGTTCGGTTGTGGAGTTCCCTTAAATGGGCAAGTGTTCAGCAGTGGATTGTGCTTAGTAGAGTTCCCTTGCAGGAGAGGAAAATTATTTGGTGTCGCAACAAGGCAAGATGCACTTAGTTTTCTTGTACGTTGCTGCATGAAATACCAGCAAGCTTCCTAACATGTGCAGCCTTGTTAGTGTTGTCTTTGCATGACCTGAATTTTGGCCAGACCATGAACC